GAAGCGAGGACGTTGCACAGGCTTCCAAAAATATGTAACGAAAGGGACTCGCTGTATACGGCGTTGTACGCATTATACAACACAAAGTTAGTGTTATACGCTAATTATGCTAATAAGCGTTTCCGGTCCAGACGAATGCAATGAAACTAACATCGGTTGTCACTTCGGTTGTCACTATAGAAATATGAAATAATGGGCAACTAGGCAGCTTTTAAATCAGAACAAGGCTAAGAATAATTTGTTGAGAATGTCTATCAATGTATTTGCTATTAATGAAAGGGTTTGAAATTGTTTAAGCCAAGTTTTGGATCGATTGACACTTTTCTACATAAATAAATCTGATATATCATAGTGATATTTCTAGAGTTGAGTGTCAATCGATACATTTTATACAATTTATATACCTTGTGATTAAGTAGAACCAGTAATATATCAATACGCGCTACCTAAACACTTTTGCTTAGTATTTAATATTCTGAAAAGTATTGTCCCGCGACAATTGAAAGTTATATCAATGAAAATGCTATGTGTTTCAAAGTGACAATCGAGTGACAATCGAGCACGTGTTCAAACCGTTTTATATTACATACATATTTTCATGTCAAATATGCACAATCTTTTAGTGGTTTTGGATAACTTACCCTTGCATTTTATTCAGTAATAACCTAGGTCGATAATTAACCAGATAGATGTGTTTTATCCCTTGCATATAGAGCAGGTTTAATCTCTCAGCATACGTCCCTCCCCACATATCATATCTGTTTATAAGCTCATTTATAATATACTGCTCAGTCTGTTGTATTAGGTTACATTTCAAATATATTGACCACAACAAGCACAGTATAAATGCATTATATATGCCAGTGCAATTCAGTAAATATGTTATACTAAATGCTATACCATTTTTGCAAAACTAATATTCTAAAACACTCGGTAATTCGAAGAGGTTAAATATGCTTTTCATTGCCTTTCAGACAATCAGTTTCAAAAGTCTTGGGACAGATGCCACAAAACCTTTGAATTTCAACAAACGACAATCCCCCCGCCCCCTGTTCAATGTTGTGTCCCATTTCTCGTCGGGTTTGATGTGTTTTGGTTTAAACAACATTGATTGGGGTGGGGGGAGGAGGTGAGGAGCGGTATTGTGTGTAAAAAACTATAATGATCCACTTACAAGCTAAAACTACATGTGTCCCAACAACTTCTGAAAGTGATTGTAGCAACATTACGTCCAGGGAAGGTTTGGCATATACTATATACACTACACAGCAAAAAGTCATTTTCTTACTGAGAAAATATATCTCATCTTAAGAATTTTTTTCTTAGGCAAAGAAAAATTTTCTGATGCGAAGAAAATTTTTCTCATTTTAGGGGACAAAATCTCGACTAGAATTTAATTTCTTAAAATAAGAAATTATTTTAACCCCCAGAATTACTCATTTTGTTAAAAGAAATTTTTTTCTTGATGTGAGAAAAACTGTTCTTAATATGAGTAAATAATTTCTTGATACAATAAAAGTGATCTGAACTAAAATTCTTATTATAAGAAAACAAATCTTGAGTACAAAATCTTGAATGTTTCTTAAAATAAGAAAACTTGTTTCATTGAAAGATTCACATCCTTGTTTCAAGAAAATTATTTCTTGACATAAGAAAATATTATTGTATTGAACCGAGTACATACACTTAATAAATCTTAATTATAAACATGCATATGCATGCCATTGCAACACAATTTTATTATTTACAATAAACAACTTTTTATATCCATTTCATTTTCCTTCTTACGTGCTTGTCAAGAGGAGTGATACATGTTGCCGGGCAATCGTCGACTCCACAGCGGACGAAGAAGTTTACTTCATATTGCTGCGTACGCTGTGGCATAGACAATCCAAAATCCAAAAGACATTGGATTGTCTATGGATTGTCTATTACTGTAGTAATGGTTCATAAGAACCCGAACAGTGAGTGCCACGAACACAGCACATCAAGGGAACATTTCCGAACAGTATTTGGGGCCACTTGACACACCATATTAAGGTTTATTCAGCACGAGACATCTGCGACAATTTTTAACATTTTAAAACGGCACTGCTTATTGTCACCTGTATGTGTGTGTTTTTTTTTCTATAGTAAAACAAACTAACCCCCCTTTTTTACCCGCGCTGTATTGATTATGGAAAAACTGGGGACGAGGCAACTTCGATCCCAGGGTATATGGAAATTTAGCCTGCTCACACAAATTCAAATTAAACAAATATGTTATTAAAATTGAATAAATAAATCATTAAAATTGGCTTCTTTAGCTTATTTAACTGAAGAATTAAAATATATCATGACGTCATGTGCGCGACATGTCGCGCGGTCCCACGCAAGAGCGCGTAAAGGATTCTGGGATTAAGATGCGCGTCCTTTCGAAATCTGCTTCGAAGTCAAACGGCTGTGTGTTCACTTGCTCGCTGAATTTTATTAAATTTTTCCATTTGAAAGTTTAATAAGGATCTACAAACTTCATTGTTACTTAAACAAACTGCTAGTGTGGACAAAGAATGCGAACAGATACTGGAAGGTAATGTTTTTGTTGAATATTTATAGAATTAGAAAAACTCACGTGCTCTAAATAAATCGTTGCTTGCGACAGTTGCGAGCAACTCGCAGCGGTTAAAATCTAAATTCTGCTACTGTTAACATATTTTGAAGTAAAGTATTACAGAATAATAACTATGACGCACTTATGGTTTGTTCAGCTCAATCGCATTTTTAGTATATTTGCGTTTTAAATATGTATATTTGGCAGTTGCTGTTCAAAAACTTCAAATTGTATGATTTGCACATTATCCGGCCTGTATTCATTTACAAGTTACAACAAAATTAGATCTGTATTCATTTACAAGTTACAACAAAATTAAAAAATGCCTGCCCAAATTGCATGCCAGCTGCTGTGATTGCAAGCAAAGGTTAAGCCATCACAGATGTATGAATATTCTTGTTCTCTTAAATCTCTTTAGTTTTATACTGTATAAACTGTGAATTGAGATAAATTATATAAGCACACTATAAACTGTCCATAACAAACATTACATTACAAAATATTAGTGCTGTGCTAACTCCAGGGTTTTTCACCTCCGGCCAGAAAAAACTCTGGCTCTGTGGTAAGTTTGAATACATGAAATATTGGAATAATATTCCCACTCATAAATAAATAATACAGTACATATAATTTATATTCTTTAGATAATTGAGGAAACAAGAAGTTAAGAATCTTGAATCTCGATTGTGTTGCATGATGCCAGTTCGCAGATGGGAGTGTTGAGCGGAAATTGACTTTTTAGTGTCTTATGGTATCAGCAAAGGAATAACTCCTCCACGAAGTCCAAAACTATGTAAGTACAGTATGCTTGTTTAAATTAAGTCAATTATAATTTTAAAAGTAAACCATTAAGTTGCAAGACCCTCCTCTTGACAAGCTGGAAGACTCTCTGGCTAAAGACAGACTGAATGAGTAATTAAAGTATCTTAAATTAATGGCACGTTGCCAGTCAATGGGTTCATTGTAGAAGTATACTAACCCTTTTACTTGCAATATGTCTAGGGGAGAGTCTTATCACTAAATGGACATGGCGAGAAATTGTGGACATTAGGGGGCAGAGCTTATAAGTATTATATATTCTGCCTTCATAAATGTCTTGGTTTCCATCAGTGGCTTATACCGCTTTTTTAAACCACTCAGGATTATTTATTGGATGGTTAAACCCCCATTCATAAGAATTTTTAGCTGGCCTGGGCAAACAGAAACGCTAGACATCCGACAAATTTCAGTGTTTATTATGTTTTGCTCGATTGACCCATCTGACCTTTGTGCAAAAAATTATATACCCACTTTAACCTGTATCTGAAGTCTTTATGCCGACAATGTTTACGAATATATAAAATTTTGTTGCCTAGAAACTATAAGGCATGTTTACAAAGCTCTTCTTTGGCAGAGTCATCTTGAAAGCATACAAAATGGAGGAATTTTTCGAAGAAGGACGACCAACTTTGGTTTGTTTATGTTCATGCACCTTTTAGGCAAGTTTCAGTGCCCGGTGTAGAATTTCACGGTTAAAATACATCGAGATTGCACTAAAATTGTGTTAAAATACCAAGCCACGTATTAATCACAGAGATTTGATACGAATGGTCCCTATAGAAACACATATTGTATTGACAAGCCAAACAATATCCAACATTTTGCGTCCGTAGCTCAGAAGAGTAAGAAATCGGAATTCGTCGTGGCTCGCTTGAGATATGTTGCCTATTGCGCTATATATTTTACTTTACGCTTGCTTTGAAGATAAATGCCGTGATACCGAATAAGATTTCTATATCATCATATTATAATTTTTGCTATATAAATCTCTAATATTATGGTGGCCATTTTGTTTACAAGTCCAAGCGGTTAGTGCGCATGCATGTCCACAATTTCTCGCCATGATAAATATTTTCCCCAATTTCTCTTGCTGACCCATTGACTGGAAATATACATTCTCTACTTTGCTATTTTATTCTCACGGTTTCAAGAATCCTCCCTTGACAGGTAAAATCATCTGCATGTCTTTCTATAGACAGAGTAAAAGAATAAAATCTAGCACATTGGCAACCAATAAGTTAACAGAAATACAGAAATATCTGCCAAACTTTCCTGCAAAGCCCCAGAAGGTCCAGCTTAATTCAGTTTTCCAGCGCTGTTAATATTAATAAACAAAATATTTGTATTGTTTGGCAGATGCAAAAATGGTACTTATAAAGATTGAAGAAGATTTCCGCTATATTTCCAAGACCGAAGTTGTCAAAAAAATGATTGAACTAGTTCATGAATTGCAGGAAGGCCCCTAATGATCTATTTTAGTGTATCTACGCTAGCATGTGTATTCTTATACTTCAGAAACACCAAAAAGATCCTTTCAGATAGATTGTTCTAAATAATTGTGTATAAAGTGTCTTTTGTTTTTACTTTTTAGGACCATGAAAGTCCAAATTCCTTTTGTCAGAAACAAATTGGCAATCTTCCTGTCATCCTGATTGATCAGGAAAGTATATATCTCACTGTTGGAAAACACATTTTGCTGCGTACCGATGTTGGTCAAATAGCAGAAGCTGTTGTTGCCTTTTAGCCATTAATGGATTTTGATTATCCCAAACAACACGAGCTAAGATTGGCAGTCCTACAACTTCTTGTTTTTAAGGACAACCGAATCCCAAACAACATTAGTGCAATTTGCAGTACCATATTAAAGTCGTATTAAAAATATAAAGAAGGCTCTGCATGAGTAACTCAACGATTAAACTGTAGATACTGTAGGTACAAATTAGTTTCAGATTCCATATAATACATTCTTTAATCCTGTTTATTTTGATATTCAAGAATTCTTTAATTTAATTTTCTTGAATTGAGAAAGTAGGAGAATAGCAAGAAAAGTTTACTTTGTGTAAGAAAATATTTCTTGAAAGATATTTTCTATTTCTTGAAAGATATTTTCTTGAAACAAGAAATTAAATTTCAAGAAATATTTTCTTATTGAGTAATCATTTTCTTACTGAGTAAATATTTCTCGCTATTCTCCCACTTTCTCAAGACAAGAAAATATTAGTTGAATTAAGTAAATATTTTTTAAATCAAGTTTGTTTTTCTTAAAACAAGGTATCAACATTTCTTATTTTAAGAAATTCTTTCTCAGTATTTCTTGGTATGAGAATGAAATTTCTTGTTTCAAGAAAAAGGTTTCAATATATTTGTTGTTATTTACTTAAAACAAGAAAATTTATTTTCTTGGTTTAAGAAAATAATTTCTAGGTATGTTTTCTTGACTAGAAATTATTTCTCGCTATTCTCCCATGAAAATATTTCTTATTTCAAGATAAAAAATCTTGAAATAAGTTTTTTTTTCTTAAAATAAGAAAACGATTTTTTGCTGTGTAGTTCATTTAGTATTAAGGAGTTTGTCGGTTTACCGTGTCAAGTCCGAGCCCAAGTCAAATGTCCGGAGTCAAATGTCCGAGTCAGTAGCTGTTTAGCGGTCTTTGTAGTTCATTGACGTAGTACCCTAACCTTACTCCTAACCCAAGGCTGTACCAAACGGGGGCGCTGGGGGGGAGGGGGCTGCAGACACACACCTCCCCCCCCCCAATAATTTGCTAATAATCATTCTTTTTCCAAAATCATGCAGACCTTTATCATTAAATAATATACCTTTAAAATACTGACAATTGATTAATTTTAAGCGGCTACATTATCCCCATGACAAACTGCAAAGAATGAAGATATTTCTCATACTTTCCAGCTTGCAACTTACCCAATATACGGTTAATTAAATACTCCTCCGCCCATTTAGTGCTACTAAATTGTAAATTTCGACATACTAAAATGCTGTTTTCTTACCATCACAATTCTGTCAAATCTTCCCCAAAGTCCAGGAAATGGCATTTCAGAGACTCTAAATTTAAAAATTTCCTCGGGCCTTCGGCCATCGCTTTCAGCCCCCCCACCACCAATCAAAAAGAACTTCCTGCGGCACTGTACGTAACTCTAACCCTACACCTAACCAGACGGCAATGGCGTTAAAAATTGCCGTAGAACGTAACAGCTGTCTACGGCAATTAATTCCGGCAGTCTCCACGGCATTTTTCAAATTATTGTA